TTCAGTTTATACTCCAACAGTGTGATTTATTAATGCTTTGTACCATCAGACAACAGTCATACTCTACCATTGTGTGACTTCAGACAAGTGACAGCCTTATGCAAAAGAGGACTTCCTAGCATGCAAAGACTAGTGATATTTTAGTGAGACCAAGACTTCAAGAAAAAAAAAAAAAAACATAAAGGGAGATTACTTGCAAAAATTCTGTAGCCTCTTCACTGTAATGAAAGACACAAAGTATGATTGGTGTTTTCAGGTAGAGTACTGTGGATGCTACTCCACCTACCAGAAGACTGCTGTTCATCTGAAAGGTGCATTACAGTACCATCAGGACAACCATGAGATAGCAATGAAATTATTAACCTAACAGCACTAATAATAATAATTCTCCCTGCATGGATCCTCTTGTCAACAATGAGCCATATCACGATCCCTGCAGTGATGAGAGGTTAAAAATAGTAAACAGAAAGTGCTAAAAGCTTCCCCCTTGTACAAGCAATGTCTGCTAGTGAGGTGAAAAGCACTATTAAAAGAAAAAGGCTCCTGTTGCTGGTAAAAGCCTTTTGATTTAGAGACAACTTTTGAATGCAGAATGACGGAAAATAATTTTCTGTCATTGGAGTGTCTTTTGAAAAACTTGTCCAAAACAACCCCCTTGCTATCAGAAAGTCTCTCATGAAGCTGTAGAAATAATGAGAAAAAAAAAGCTTTAAATAATTCCAAATTTACTTCTCCATCTGTATTCCCTTTACACTCTGATGATACAATCCAGTAATAAAAATCCATATAATAAAAAGCTTCACAAAGGTTAATTCTTTTTTTTACTCTATAGAAATAACACAAAACTGCAACAGTGTCAGAAATGTCTAATACTACATCTGATCATGAAGGCAGAAAGACTTATGCCCCCTCACTCCCACAAATCTAACTTTTGATATTGAAACTAGTCTATTATTATTGCTTGGTCTCCTCCTTTAACAAAAGAAATCCAATAGAAAATATCGTTACAGTTTGTCCTAAAATAATGCATTCTTCAGACAGAAATATAGTTCAAACTTCCTTTAACAGAAGAAATCCAATAGAAAATAATGTATTCTTCAGACAGAAATATAGTTCAAACATCTGAATGCAGCATCCCATCTGGCCTGATACTGCAGCAAATGCAAGCTATGGATACAGGATATCATAACATTCATTCACAAAGTGCACTGCTGTTAAGCCTTTGGGACAGAATCAAACCCCACACACTATTGACTGCTACACGTAAGGCTAAGTAGTAGTCTACATACTGAACACCTGCTTGCAACCCTCAAAACTTTCCAAAACTTTATTTTTTTCAGGCTGATAACCTCCAATCCATATTTGTGCAGCTCAGAGGAAATATTCTTTCACAAAATCCGGAAAAGAAAATTACAGTGTGAGATAGGTTGAGAAGTGAGGCAGTAGAAAGACAGACAACAGAGACAAATGGTATTTATATACATATATTTGAAGGTACTGATGTTAATTCAGCTGCTTCAGTACTTGGATTTTTCCTCAATTATTGAAAGTACTGAAGTAACTGAGAGAACAAAACTAACACACGTTAAAGAAAGTGCAAAATCCCTTTAAACATCATAGTGAAAATGAATCGACTGTTTTGGCTGATCTGAATTAGGTGCATCCAAATATAATCATAAGATGTGTGTGCAGTGTGCAAATTTTAACTTACAAATCGAACACTACCATGGCAAAGGGAGGTTATGCTGCCCTAGTATTTATGCAGGAGGTGAATTAGCCATTGTCTATCAGGGAATTCCTAAACCTCTTTCCTTACTCACTTGTCCCTAAAAGCAAGAAGTACCCGGACTTTCTCTTGCATTTCACAGTCTCTCAGTAAAGATACTCACCTAAGCTGTCAAAATCTTAACTTCTTTACATGTAGAAACTCCGCTTAAATATCTGTTAATTCAATATTTCAAATGACTCACCCGTTTGATCTAACTCCGAGGCTCACCCTGGTTTGAGCAGGGGGGTAGACTACATGACCTCCAAAGGACCTTTCCAATCTAAATTATAAAGAACTCCTATGACTGAAAGTTCAGCCTTAACTCTGCCCCTTTTAAGCAGATGCCATGAAAACAGTATTACTGCTTTTAATATCGACCCTTTCTTCCCCTGCAATCATTAAGTGTCAGTATCTCGCAACTCACTTGAAGCAGCTGAAATAGTTTCAGTCTGATACAACATTAGCAAATCCTTTTACAGCAAACTTCATCAGAGTACAAATTTTGGTAGCTCAAGCTTCCCTTTTGAAGTTACCTCTACATTTACACAAGATTTGACCTCACTGGACAATGTACAGAAAAATGAAATCAGCAGTCACTGTATACTGCTGTTTCAAGTCGCATTAAAATATTCTTCAGGTGCAATTCGGGCCACACAATGTAAGAAAATAATAAGGGCCTAGAGATGTTGCAAACACACCTACCTAAGCTACATCAAAGTCCACAGGACTTGTCCTAAGAAACTACACTTGTTATGTTACACGGAACTCCTCATAATGACATCTTATTATTTATTTCCAAACCGATTGGAGCAGAGTCCAAAATATCACAGAGTAACACACTGTTCAATAAAATACTACATATGACAAAACCAGCTACTCAGTCAGGTACGCTGCAGAGCATTCATGAACTTGCAACCTGTAACATACTTAAGACTGAATCACAGTGTAAACTCTGCAGTGGGGCAGAGTTGAGTACGGTAAAAGCCATCTTCTTTCTAAACATGTATTGTGGACTTAATATTTTTCTGCTATTGTTAATATGTTAAAATGAAAAACAAACATGCTGTTCTTCTAAGAAATGTACTGTTAAAAAAATAGTAGGAATTGGAGTGTGGAATTTCATGTGGAGTACCCATTAAAACAATGTATTGCCCCCCCAAAAAGCAAAAAAACTATAGCATTTTCATGCAGATTGAAATGAAATTATTGCCATTTTCTGAATCTGCAAGATGTAGCAGAATTCCTACAACTTTTCCTGAAATATCAAATATATTACTATTATTGCCAAAAAGTATCTCTAAATGTAAATAAAATAAATAAATCTCACTTTAAAAACAGTGTTACTGTGGGACAGGCAGCATAGCTTCACACATCACTTAAAAAAAAAAAAAAAAAGCTAACCCAAAAGAACTTCAAATTAGGCCATGTATTAAAAAGAAAAAAGGAAAACGGGAGAAAATAAGAAAAAAAAAAAGAAAAAGAAGGAAAGAAAAAGAAATCGCTCTGCACAATGCAGGCGCTTGTTCGCGGCCCCGCAGCAGCCGTGACTTCTTCCTGGCGCAGGCGGTCAGGAGGTCGCGGCGCGGGGCGCTCGCGGCACCGGGGCGGGGGCAGCC